GCTCCAGAATTAGCTGCTGTTTCTCCATTTACCCACAGCATTAAATAATGCCCTCAGCAAATCCCCCAGCCAGCTGTCGTCCCGCCGTCGCCTACCTCCAGGATAAACCAGGTCCCACCGGGCTGGGGCACTGGGACACAGGGTGTCCCTCTCCCCATGGAGCCAGGCTTTGGCTTGGGAATGGCAGCACGGTGGGAGGACGTGGTGCCCAGGCAGCGTGGGCATCACCACAGGCAGAGCATGGTGGTGAGATGGAGCTGTGTGGCCGGTGTGTGATCCCGGGAGAGGGGGGCAGCCCCAGCCTCCAAAGGGGATCACTGCCTGCCCGGTCAGTGCAGGCAGGCCACAGGCATGGCTGTGTCCCAGTGCACAGGGCTGACAGAGTCATCTGCACGAGGGGTGATGTATCAGCCCACCCCCATGTCCCACCCTGCCCGAGCAGAGCGAGGGGACACCAGCACCCACAAGCTGCTCCCTCGGAAGGTGGCAGGAGGTAACACTGAGGCTGGTTTTTTCAGCCACTGCTGCAGCTCCCTGCTGCCATCCGAGGGAAACCACCAGACCCTGGAGCGGGTGGAGGGCTGGGCTGTCAGCAGGCAGAGGTCAGGCATGGCATGGGACAGGGGGCCAGAGGGGCACAGGCATCTTCCTCAGCAGCCCACCCCAGCCCAGGTGGGGTGAGGGTCTCGTCAGTTCACCATTTAGATGGAATATACTAATTAAGCAGCATCTTTGATTCTTGCATGCCACAGTTGGGTCCTTGGATCAGGTTTCCTAGCAGAGAGGTTATCCTTGTGGTGAGGACTGTGAGTCACGCACCCTTGGTGAGACATTTTTATTTATAACTCCCATTGCAAAGCCAAGCCAAACAACACAGCTACGCTCCAGCAAAGGGAAGGGGAGAACCACCATCGCCCCCAGTCCCACTGCTGCTTCGTGCCTCAGCGTGAGGCAGAGGGGTAGCAGCGGGGCCCCCCTCCTCCTCGGAGACCCTGACAGGGCTGCTGCTGCTAATGCCGCGTTGCTTTTGTGCATGTTCCTGGTGGGAACACTTCATTTTTCTCTGCATAGATCTGCACCCAACTTAATGTTAGGGTTCTGCTTTTGATAGGTTAATCACCCACCTTACGTCCCAGTTATTAGCGTTTCCATGAGTGGGTTGCCATGGTGCTCTGCGGTTTATCCTCTGTTAGTTACTTATATTTCCTAACAAATATCTTAAAATATCCTTGGCGGGTTTGTGGTTGCTGATCAACACGGAACCCCAACATAGGAGATGGGCAAAACTGCTTAGGCATCAGTTTGGTGACTTCAAGCTGCACGTCCACCACTCCTCTCTGCCAGGTTCTGCCGGCATCCACCGGTATGCACCGTGCAGGCAGCTCTTCTCCAACGCTGGCTGCAAATTGCAGCAGCAGCAGCAGGAGCAGCAGCACGGCCCTGGGGGCCACCCCCAGACCCACTGCTTGGTGTAGGGCTGGAAGGCAGCTGTGTGCCCAGCTGGGTGCAACCAGGCCAACTAGCACCAGGCTGGTGGCACAGTGTGCTGGGTGTGTTGATGCCCCCCTGCCCCTGCACCCCCCTTCCCTGGGGTGATGTGATGCCCGGGAG